ATAATAGATTGCTTTTAGGAGATGACTCGATAATAAAGAAGTATTAAAACTCAAATTTATCGAATATGACAGATAACGTATTGTTCGTATATTTGACATTGCTTAATTCGATAATATATATGTATTTGCGATATTTTTTTAATATTATATACATATAAATTCTTTGATATGTAGCGTAAAATAACAATTTGAATAGATATAATATATATATATATATATATATATATATATATATACTATATAATTATGTATATATAATTAAAAATTAATTTTTATTCTCTCTATAGAAACGTGAAAAGTATATCTCCTTATGGTTTTAAAACTTTTTTTATTAATGCTTTTTATTAATGCTTTCAGGTTAAAAACATAGAATATGTGGAAGAAACGTATAATATATAAAACAAACGTGTATTATCTCGGAAATAGCTCATAATTATTTCCTTTTCAATATAAAAACGAAACGAATAAGTAACAAAATATTAACGAAATGTGTTTTAATTTGAAAGATTTTGAGCATAAGAATTTAAGAAATATTATTCAACTTATTTACAATAATGAGATGTAATATAAGCTCGCAAATATTTTGGGTATGTGTGCAAATTTTAAAACTTCGATGACTCATATAATAATAATTAATAATTCGTGTTTTGTAATTTAAATATATTATTTAAATATCTTAAATAATATCTGAAAATAATAGATTCTAATTTTATTAAAAATTTTAATTTTTTCTCTTTCCCTCTTGTTATTCTTTTTTAAAAATTATTTTATATATAATTCTAAAAATTCGATCCATTTTTTTCTTGATTAATTTATCTATCTAATATCATCAATCCAATTTAATTGTGCATTGAAATAAATCTTTACTTGTTTTTGTTTCACTAATATTGATAAAAACAATCAGGGTGTAATAAATTTTGGATCAAAATTTACGTGTTATCTAATCTACTTATTTTAATTTCAATCATTGCTTTGGATATCAAATTTAAAAAAAAAATTCTTTCATTAAATAAATTGTTTCGAAAATAGTAATATTTAGTTATTACATAGTTCTTGTAAAACATTTAGCAAATTAATAAAGCATATATGCTGAAACACTACGTAACTGTGCGCGCGTCGCTCATGATTTATGTGTAAATCTAAAGGGTTTATTCGTTAACGATGCTCTCATTAAAAAATCAATATTCAGGCGGAATTTTGCCAAAGGAAAAAGTTGTTTCTTTTGTCACAAACTATTACGTTATACATTCCGTAATTGCGAATTCTGATACACTCTGTATATTAAAATATATACATATATTTTTACATATATATATATATATATATATATATATATGTGTGTAAAAAAGAGATACATTTAAAGAATAAGATATTTTAATAGATAGTTTATTGTATTGTGATAGATATTTTGTGATTCGTTATTTTTATGATTTGGAGTACCTTTGTTCTTATTTTCTATATTCTTTTTAAAGAGAATTATTTATATTAGAATTAGTTTATTGAAAATAAATGATTATTTTGTTTAAAAAAGTGCATATTTAAATTAAAATCATGTAATAGAATTTAACGTATATAATTTATATATTTGATACTCACTTTTAATCCTTCTTCGAGAAACTTGTAACGCAAATTTCAAGGTAAATTGCAATAAAAAATTGCACGTTAAATTTTGCTATACAATGACGTACCAATATTCAGTTCTGTATTTATAAAGAAGTCAAATAATTATATAAAATTGCATATGTTATTAAATTCTTTTTCAACAAACTAATTTTCAAATAATTGCAACTTTTACAATAGATTATCTGCAAATAATGCATTTTTATGTTTGTGCAATTAAATTTTAAAATATCATTTATGATATCTCATTATGAGTTTTGAAAATAATTTTAAATTCTTGAAAAACAATATATAGAGAGGGATATTTTTTTATTCGTAATTGTTTAATTCAAAATAATATGAAAAGCATATAAGAATTGTATCAATATAATTATTATATAATTTAACATATATAATAGAAAAGAATTATAAGATATACATATGTATATATATTGTGAGATATAGAATTCTATGAAATACGTACACATTGCATTTATATGCGTTAATGATTTAAGCAATAATTCTTAAAAAATGTTGAATAAATAATCTTTTGAGAAATATGAAGATTAAGAGAGAAATTTGTATAATATAGTTACTTAATATATATGTATATTATATCATTATACTATTTTTTAATAACTTATACAAATAATTTAAAATATCTAAATCATTTTTGATTAATTACAAGCACAGCTTTTACTGAAAACACAGATATAATACAATTAATAGCGACACAATTATGAACATTAATATCAAATAATAACAACATTTAATGGTAAGAATATTGTCTAATAATAATAATAGTAATAATAATGCTCAATAACAATTATTATTATCATAATAATCACAATGACGTTTACAATGACCATGAAAGTATCAAACATGACTAACATATAATGGAGCCAATACTTATCGTACGATAAATGATAAAATTGAAACGCTTTACTGGCACGTTATAAATTTTTTTCTTTCTTACTTCCATATTATATAAAAAAAAAGTTATATTCAATGCGATATTAAACTATACATAATACATAAATAACTAAAATGTAAATAATATTATCTGTAACTATCAAATATCTAATTTTAAACAACATAAAAATAATTTTGTATAAATTAAAATTATAATATAAATATAAAAAAACGTCGGAATATTTTATACAGAATATTTCACAATATTTATTACATCGTTTTTAATATTCATTTAATTTAATTTCGTTTTTAATATTCATTTTATTCGAAGAATTTAAGAGCAAAATTTACGTAAATTAGGCATTATTGTAATTACTGACTTTACAATATAAGTCTAAAATTTTACAGTTTAAATCTCTTACTTTTAACTTTCATATACTTATATGCTTGTATACTTTTATACTTATATGTTTATTAATTAACTTTTATATACTTATATGTTTATATACTTATATATTTCACAAATATCTGTCGAATATATATTTTGCTGGTTCTCTTATCCCTTCTGATTTTGATGAATTTTTGTTATATGATTGTTATATGATTTAATTGATTTTGATTCTTAATTGACTGACTTGAAACCATTACGATAACCTTCATCATGGAGCAACAATATTTAATCTGGGAATTTTATAAATAAAAAAATTTTAATAACGAAGAAATGTAAAATAATGACATATAAGTTTAAAAATATCAGTTTTATTATTATATCTATTAATATTAAATCCAAATATTGTTAAATCCATGTTTTGCATTTTATCTCTATATTACAATATAATAAATAAATACAATATGATATTATGCATATATAGAGAGAGCCATTTCCGATCTCAATATCAATTTTCACATATGTTATCAATTTCAATACTTTGAATAATGTTATAAAAGTTTTAGCCCGCACTAGTTGTTTATTAAGTTTTCAACAAAAAGAGTTAATGAATAGAACATAATTTTACGTCTTACAACGGTTATATAACATAATCTAAACCGAATTTTAACTTTAAATCTGAAATAGGCCTGAGTCTCACCGTAAGGAACAGAAATAGCAAAACTTACTATGTTCACGCATGTACTTTGTAAGATAAAACAAAATTCTCAAAGATAAATCAAATTTCTCAAGATAAATCAAAATTCCAAAAGTTTTGGATTGATTTATTTTTACCTTTTGCATGCGTATGATGGAATTTATAAAATCATTTGTCTTTTTAATTATTTCGTTCCTTCACAATATGTCCCGTCTACAGGAACATTTCTAGTCAGCTTGCCAATAAAGTCTCTTTGATGGTATTAGCAATTTTTTTTCCCACCAGAGATACTCTGTTTAATGAGCATGCAGTATAGCATGTCGTCGTAGTTCCTGCGTAAATAGTTTGTCTCTGCAATTAAAACAATATTTACTTTATACTAATATATTTTATATATTATTTATAGCATTATTTTATATGTTATAGTGTCATTTTATATTATGTATACACTATTATTATTTTATACAGGGTGTTCATTTTAAAATTTTCTATCCATTTATTTCATAATTGAATATTTTTTGCAAAGTGTCAAAAAATGTCAGTTTTGTTTTCGAGGAGGACATTAAATGTAACGAAATTTTTTTCATCCCATCGTCAATATTTTTCGAGAAATCGCATTTGAAAGTTTTAAGTGGCAAAAAAGTTTTACATACAAAGATACAATTTGTAACAGAATTTATTTATTTGTCATTTATTATAACAAATGTCAAAATGTTCGCCATTGTTTCCTAAACAATAATATAAACGAAATAATTAAACGAATCCTTCGGATTTTCAACAGCTTGTAAATAAAATTTCGACAACAAACGCTTCTCGCTCTGGTTCTCTTTTTTCCATGACATGGAACAATCGTTCGTAAGACATTTTCTCGCATTTCGAGGCATTAATATTCCCTAAAATACGAAAACCGCACAAAAATTCGCAAATATTCGAGGCGCAAACATAAAGTCATTACTCCCTCGCAAAGGGAGAACGCAGATCTTGAAAAATCTTACGATTAAATCTTTCGTTCTAACGAATGGCTAAGAAAACGCACGTACATACAATATATCGAATATTGAACACAATAAAATAATCACCAAATTTTAATTCTGCTTTTCAATTTTGCTGATTATATTCTCTTAACAGTTTTTTGAATTTTTAAAATTAAATTTATTTTCAAACAAAATTAGTACTAAAATCCATAAGGTTGATTTTTTCAACTGTTAACAATCGATAATTATATACAAACATAAGATTATTAAAAGAAAAACGAAGAATTGCATTCATTTAATTTTAATCTTCAAAATATTATTATAAAATATTTTTAAATTTGTTTATAAAATACAAAAATAAAAGCATTTTATAATTTATTCAACAACTTATTTACATTACTGAATTTATATTTAACAATTATAACAGTGCAAAAGTAACATCTTATGAAATAAAATCTTTTTTACTTAACTTTTCTACCTTTTACATAAACTGATACTATATTATGATCATTCCCCGAATATATAAATCTTTGAAGATTTTCCTCGAGTGTGTAATCTGTGAAGTTGTCTAACAAGCTGTTTTCTGCGTTCGAATCTATGACGAGAGCATCAAATTCTTTGCCTGGCATGAAATTACCGACTTTGTCCTCAATCGAAAGCGCTAAACACAATCAAAATATACACTTAATTAGATTGAAAGTTATAGTTATAGTACATATTATTATATATAAAAAGACATATTTTGCAAGTTAATTATCGTTTCTAATGTACAATACTTGAACTTTACCTTTAGCACTTCCTAATGTTGCCATAGTGAAGACATCTTTGTAATCAAGTGGCACATAATCTCCCGTTGAAGAAAAAGATACAGCATTTGATACATGTAAAACCGATCTTATTTCATCCAAGATGTTATAACTTGATCCACCGGAAACATCTGAGAGAAGACATATTCATTATTAACGTAATAATGAACATTATATCGATTAGTTATTGCATTGAATTTTATCTAAAAAATGTCATTATTAATATAAAATTTTTGCAAGGTAAAATATTTGCAGTACCTGTTCCAATGCCAACATTGACATTATTAGCTTTTAGTCTCCGCACGTCGCAAAGACCGCTTTTCAGATTTAAATTCGAAGTTGGACAGTGAATTATAGCTGTTCCTGTTTTTGCAAGTGTGCTAAGTTCACTATCTTCAAGGTAGACTCCGTGTGCTAATATTGTCTGTAAAAATAATATTAAATATATATTATAAACATACATTTAATTGAAACATCTCCATTATGTATGAGAATAATATGTATAATATTGATTTTTTCACAAATAATATGTATAATATTGATTTTTTCCTATTTAATAGATTGACAAAACAAAATTAAGTCTTACCTTGTTGGTAAGAAGACCAGCGGTTTCGTAAACATCTGTGTATGTCGCTAATCCGAATTTTTCTTTCACGGCTTTTATCTCATCTTTATTTTCAGAAACGTGACTCTACAGAAAATAAAAAACATGTAAAATTGACACTAACATGATAAAGATTATTGAGTACATTATGATACCTGTATGTGTAAATCTTTTTCTTTAGCAATCTCTGCCAACTGTTTCATTAAATCCAAGTCACAGCTCAATGCAAATCTTGGTGTAATAATCGGTTTTACAAGGGGATCCTACAAAAAGATTTGAGTAATATAATATATATATATTTTCAGTTTATGTGATTATATTATTAATACAAAATTTTCTATTTATATATAACTAGACAATTATTATCTCATCACAATATGCAGAAAATGAAATATAAATTTGCATTTACTGCTATTTTGTCGATAGCTTCTATAAAGGCCTTAGTAGTCTCGATTGATTTTTCCGTGGTTTCGTAATATCCATCATCCCGTGGGTCATTCATGTTTACTTTTCCGATGAAAGCCCGTTGACCAAACTGTGAACATTTTTGCCCGAGAATTGCAGATGCCTCGGTATACAGAGATGCAAAATAACATGCTGTTGTTGTTCCAGTTTGTATAGTTCGTTTCTGTAATAACAATTAAAATAATAATGAAAAGATAAGAATATTTTACATAAAATATAATTATTATTATTTTATAATAATATACTTTATATATTATTTATAGCATTATTTTACATATCACAATATTATTTTATATTATTTATACACTATTATTTATAGATTATTATATATTATTATATATTATGGTTTTTATATTATTATATATTATTTATAGAATTATTTTAAATTATTATGTAAGTATTGCTCCTAGATAATATTATGTTTTAAGATTTGTTTCATTATACATACCACAACAACTTCAAACACTTTTTCTGCAAGTTCTTGACTAGTATATTGCCTCTCCAATGGAAAAGTATAGGTTTCCAGCCAATCTAAGAGAGTTTTATCGTAGCCCAATCCAAGATTCGGAAACTGCACCGCGTGTATATGGCAATCGATAAATCCAGGTATTATAAATTGTCCTGGTGATAAATTATTAACTTCATCTGCGTGAAAAGCATCTATCTTCTGTTGATCTGGATTTTCCGTAACATCAACAATCTGGATATTGTATAATAGAGATATTGATTAATAAAGATATTGTTATATATATATATATATATATATATATATATATATTGTTTTATATTTTATTTATATTAGATAAGTTACTAATAAAATAAAATAAAAAAATAGTAAAAGTAATTTATGAAATATATTAAATACCTGGCCATCCTCGACAAGTATCGTAACACTCTCCTTAAAAATCACTTCTCCATTTTCATCTGCATGAATCATAGAACCAGTAAAAACTTGTCGAACCATTGTGCGTAGTATTTTTTAGGTATATACAATCACCACTGAAACAATACAATAAAACATATACATTGTCATCTGCGAAAGCTTTAAAATTTTTGAAAATGTTTCTCTTTGTATCGATAATCTTTCTAATATGACTACGGTAAAATTAATTTTTAATAAGAAAATTATAAATAACGCATTTCTTCTTATATTATCATTATGTACTCTAAACTTCTCAAAATAACAGAAAAAAGATAATTGTGCAAATAATTTTAATTCTATATAAAAGGACGTACATATATATGTGTAATTTAGATACAAGTAAAAATTTCCAATATCTTCATGTATATAATATTAAATATAATGACTTCTTTCACAAACAACACAGTTATAAGATGCTTTAATTTTTTAATAACGAATTTATTAACGAGATATTTATAATATGGACGTTATCGTAGAATGTGATTACTGCGGTAGAGATTATTGGCGATATGGATAACGTTACAAAACAGCTGATTTGATCTGGGAAAACCATATTGCATTTGATTATATCCAGTATCCAGTATCTAATACATGCATTTTGATTATGTAGCTTTTTCGACCTTTTACAACCTTTTGCAACACGACATTACAGCGGCGTACGACACATCTTCGGCGCAATTCACGATCTCCATCCGAAAGATAATCGTGACAATTACAAGATTATTGAACGATAGGAATCGCACCACAGAAAAATATGCAAATAATGTAGACACTGATTAAAGATAGAGGCAGAGAAACGAGTTCGATGGGAATTGAAATGAAAATTAGCTTGGTATTTAATGATAGAAGATATAAAAAAAAAGCGCGTGTCTATTCTTTATTTTCTCAACAGCAAGAATATTTTTAAAAGAATATATGTATCCTAAAAATAACTAAACTCAATCGCTAACATAATAACAAGCATGCAATTTTGTTTGTAAAAGATATTCAATCTTATAGTAATTATGATTATTAATTTTATATCTTATTAAACTTATTAATAAAATTATAAAAAGGAAAACGAAGAATTAGTGTATTTATTTAATTTTAATCTTCAAAATTATTTAATCATTACAAAATATTAATTATAAGTAATTGTTTGTTTAATATACAAAAATAGAGACATTATTTTATTATAATTTATTCAACAGCTTATTTTCGTTATATATAACTTACTTCATAGGTTGACAAAGCAAAATTAAATCTTACCTTGTTGGAAGAAGACCAGCAGTTGTGTATGTCAGTTCTCCGAATTTTTCTTTCATTGCTTTTATGTCGCTTTTTTTAGTTTCGGCGATGAGACTCTACAGAGAATAAAAAACAAGTTGAATTGATATTAATTTGTGATGAATATTACATAAGTATACCTGTGTATATGTTAATCATTGGGCGAAGCGTGGCATAATAGACAGCGCCCTAGTCTGCAAAGCTAAAGGTCTCGTGTTCGAAAGAACCGAAAAATTATATCTCGTTCGCTCCTCTCTCGGGAGGCAATGGCACCGAGAATTTCTTGTCAAGAAAGAGAGAGAATGATGATGTAAATCATTTTCTCTAGCAATCTTTGCTAGTTGTTAATTCTATCAACTTTTCCTCAAGTCACCTTTGAACAACACTTGAATAATACAATTTTTCCCGACTCAAATCTTAGCTGATATGAAATCCAAAGACTTTTAATATGTACGCGTATGATTTTTTTCTAAAGTAGCAATTATTGAAATGTAATACGGAAATGAACACAGCTCAAGCTGTATCTCAAGACAAATTTCCTCTGATTGTATCTTTATTGAATTCATATTCTAAATGATTACGTAATAATATAAGTAAAATATAATTATTATTTTATAATAATATACTTTATATATTATGTATTATGTATAGCATTATTTTACATATTACAATATTATATATATTATTTTATTATTTATACACTATTATTTATATATTATTTAGGATTATTTAATTTTAATTTTAATTTTTTATTTTAGTATTATTTAAAATTACTATATAAGTATTGCTCTTAGATAATATTATATTTTAAGATTTGTTTTATATACCACAACTACTTCAAACACTTTTTCTGCAAATTCTTGATCAATATACTGCCTCTCCAATAGAAGAATATAAGTTTCCAGTCAATCTAAGAGAGTTTTATCATAGCCCAATCCAAGATTCGGAATTTACATTACGTGTGTATGTCAATCTATAAACCCGGGTATTATAAATTCTTCTAGTAATAAATCATTAATGACGTGTGCGTGAAAATCATCTATCTTTTGTTGATCAGTTTTTGGATTTTCCATAATATCAATAATCTTGATATTTTTAATATTATATTTTTATATATTTTTATTATTGTACAATGCAGATATAAAAATATAATAAAATATAATATAATATAATATAATATTAGATGAATTACTAGTAAAACTAAAATTATTAAAATAATATTAATAAAACTAACTAATAAAAATAGTAAAAGTAATATATGGAATATATTAAATATCTTGCTATCCTCGATAAGTATTGAAACCCACTCCTTTGAATCTATGCGACATTCGTAGCAGGATTTAAAAAGATGCCGCCAAAAGATCGTGATACAATGATGTCGATAACTGTCTACCCGATATAACATATAGAAAATCGAGTGGAAGAAATCGCGAAATATTGAAGAGCTATATAACGTGTACACAGAGAAAAATATCATTCTGCCAAGAAAAGCGATTACTCAGTTTATTTCTCTTTTTTTAAATAATAGTTTTCTTCAACAAAGAATATATTCTTGATAATAGTTTTAAAATATGTTCAACATAAGTGTTAGAAAATTTCATTATCATGTACTCAGAAAAAGAATTTATTTTCTCTTCAAGAACATTGTAAAGTTGTATCAAAGAAAAATCAAACTTACTTTACGCCAATTCTATGTAGTGAACAAATCAAATTTTAATTGAATATTCTTGATTAAAATACTGCACTTACTAAAATTCAGAATATATTTAATTAAATTTAATGCTTGTGATGAACTTATGATATATTTGCGGATATACAAACTTATGATGTACTTAAAATAAATAAAATTTACTAGAATACAGTATACATTTTTCTCTGAGTATGATTGAGAGCTATATAATTGCGCGAGATCAGTAATAATAACTAACGCGAGTTTTCACGCGAATATAAATATAAAAAGAAATATGACAAACAGTATTATTTTGTTATAATGTATGTAAAAGGACAAAAAGTTTCTCAAATAAGTACTTACTTCTATTTCTTATAAAGTCACAGAAGAAGATTCTGATCGTAATTCTTATTCAAAAACGTTACGTTCGATGTTTCCAAAAAAGACGAGTATCTTTTCTTTATTTTGTTAAGAGTAAATATATTTTTAAAAGAATATTATAAAAATTTTAAGAAAATTGAACTCGATTGCTAACATAATAAGGAACATGCAACTTCAACTGTAAAAGATATTCAATATATTAAGGTGATTATTATAAGATATTTATTAATAAAATTATTAAAAGAAAAATAAAGAATGAATGCATTCATTTAATTTCAATTTTTAAAATATTGTTACAGAATATTTATAAATTTGTTTATAAAATACAACAATAGGATCATTTTATAATTTATTCAACAGCTTATTTACATTACTGAATTAACGTTTAATGGTAACAGTACAAAAGTAACATCTTATAAAATAAGATATCTTTTACTTAACTTTTCTACCTTTTACATAAACAGACACTATATTATGATCATTCCCCGAATATATAAATCTTTGGAGATTTTCCTCGAGTGTGTAATCTGTAAAGTTATCCAACAAACTGTTTTCTGCGTTCAAATCTATGACAAGAGCATCAAATTCTTTGCCTGGCATGAAATTACCGACTTTGTCCTCAATCGAAAGCGCTAAACACAGTCAATATACAATTAGTTAGATTGAAAATTATAGTATTGTTATATAAAAAGACATATTTTACACAATAATTATCGTTTCTAATATATGTAATACTCGAACCTTACCTTTAGCACCTCCTAATGTTGCCATAAAGAAGGCATCTTTGTAATCAAATGGTACATTATCATGTCCCATTAGAGATAGAGAAGTTGATACCTGCAAAACCGATTCCATTTCATTCAAGATGCTGTAAGTTGATCCAGCAGACACATCTAAGAAGAGATACATTCATTATTAATGTAATAATGAACATTATGTCGATTAGTTGTTACATTGAATTTTACATAAAAAGAGTCATTATTAATATAAAATCTTGCAAGGTAAAATATTTGCAGTACCTGTTCCAAGGCCAACGTTGATATTATTAGCTTTCAATCTCCGCACATCGCAAAGACCGCTTTTCAAATTTATATTCGAAGACGGACAGTGAATTATACCTGTTCCTCGTTTCGCAAGCGTGTTAAGTTCATTATCCTCAAAGAAGATTCCGTGTGCTAATATTGTCTGTAAAAAAATATTAAATGTATATTATAAATATATTTAATTGGAACACCTCTATTATGTATAAGAATAATATGTATAATATCGATTCGTTCACGATCTATTTAAGGTTACTAGGTTCTTCATAGGTATCTAAGGTTATTCATAGGTTGACAAAACAAAATTAAGTCTTACCTTGTTGGTAAGAAGACCAGCGGAATCATAAACTGCAGTGCATGTGTCTCCAAATTCTTTTTTTACTCTTTCTACCTCATCTTTAGTTTCATTAATGTGACTCTACAAAATGAAAAACAAGTTGAATTTATACTAATATATTTATAATAATATGTGATGAATATTAGACAAGTGTAATATACCTGTATATGTAAATCCTTTTCTTTAGCAATCTTTGCCAGCTCTTGCATTAATTCCATGTCGCACTTCAATGCCTGACATGGCGTAATAATTGGTCTTACAAGAGGATTCTAAAGAAAGATTTGAGTAATATGACATATTTTTTGTTTGCATGATTATGTTTTAATGTAAAATTTTTTATCTATACGTATATATAACTAAGAAACTAATATCTCATCATAATGTGCAGGAAATAAGATATAAATTTGCATTTACTCCTATTTCTTCGACAGCTTTTATGAAGGTCTTAGTAGTCTCGATTGATTTTTCCGTGCTTTCGTAATATCCATCATCTCGTGGAGTGTTTATGTTTACTTTTCCAACGAAGGCTCGTTGACCAAACTGTGAACACTTCTTTGCGAGAATCACCGATGCCTCGGTATACAGACCTGCAAAATAACATGCTGTTGTTGTTCCAGTTTGTATACATCGTCTCTGCAATAACAATTAAAATAATAATGAAAAGATAAGAATCTTTTAGGTCAAATATAATTATTATTTTATAATAATGTGCTTTATATATTAATTATAACATTATTCTGTTTATAGTATTACTTTAAATTACTATATCAGTATTGCTTTTAAATAATATTATGTTTCAAGATTTGTTTTACATACCACAACTATATCAAACACTTTTTCTGCAAATCGTTGATCAATATACTGCTTCTCCAATGGAAAAGTAGAGGCTTCCAGCCAGTCGAAGAGAGTTTTACCTAAACCCAATCCAATATTCGGAAATTGCACTGCGTGTATATGGCCATCGATAAATCCAGGAATTATAAATTGTCCTGGTGATAAATTATTAACTTCATCTGCGTGAAAATCATCTATCTTCTGTTGATTTGAATTTTCCGTAACATCAACAATCTGGATATTGTATAATACAAATATTAATAAAGGTATTGTTATATATATTGTTTTATATTTTATTTATATTAGATAAGCTACTAATAAAATAAAAAAATAATAATTTAAATAAAAGTAATTTATGGAATATATTAAATACCTGGCCATCCTCGACAAATATCGTAACACTCTCTTTAAAAACCACTTCTTCATTTTGATCTGCATGAATCACAGAACCAGTAAAAACTTGTCGAACCATTGTGCGCAATATTTTTTAAATATATCAATCACCACTGAAACAATACAATAAAACATGTACATTGTTAGCTGCGAAAGTTTTAAAATTTCTTTAAATGTTTCTCTTTGTATCTATAATCTTTTTAATATTACTACGGTAAAATTAATTTTTCAAAAAGAAAATTATAAATAATGCATTTCTTCTTATATTATTATTATGTACTTATCATTGTGTACTCTAAATTTCTCAAAATAACAAAAAAAAGATAGATATGCAAATAATTTTAATTCTATATAAAAGAACGTACATATATATGTGTAATTTAGATACAAGTAAAAATTTCCAATATTTTCATATAATATTAAATACAATATATAATAATAAATATTATATTATATTATATTATATTATTATATTATATTATTATATAATATTATGTTAATATTAAATATATAATATTAAATACAATATGACTTCTTTCACAAACAACTCAGTTATAAAGTGCTTTAATCTTTTAATAATGTATTTATTAACGAGATATTTATAATATGTACGTTATCGTAGCATGTGATTACTGCAGCAGAGATGATTGGCGATATGGAAAATGATAACGTTGCAAAACAGCTGATTTGATCTGGAAAAACCATATTGCATTTGATTATATCCAGTATCTGATACATGTATTGTAATTATGTATCTTTTTCGACCTTTTACGACACATCTCCGAAAGATAATCGTGACAATTACAAGATTATTGAACGATAGGAATCGCGCCACATAAAAAGATGCAAATAATGTAGACACTAATTAAAGATAGAGTCAGAGAAACGAGTTCGATGGGAATTGAGATGGAAATTAACTCGGTATTTAATGATAGAAGATATATAAAAAAAGCGCGTATCTATTCTTTATTTTCTCAACAGCAAGAATATTTCTAAAAGAATATATGTATCTTAAAAAGTAGCTAAACTCGATCGCTAACATAACAATAAGCATGCAATTTTGTTTGCAAAAGATATTCAATATCTTATATTAATTAAGATGATTATTAATTTTATATCTTATTATACTCATTAATAAAATTATAAAGAGGAAAACGAAGAATTAATGTATTTATTTAATTTTAATCTTCAAAATTATTTAATCATTACAAAATATTAATTTATAAATTTATTTATAACATACAGAAATAGAGACATTATTTTATTATAATTCATTCAACAGTTTATTTCCGTTATATATAACTTACTTCATAAGTGACAAAGCAAAATTAAATTTTACCTTGTTGGTAAGAAGACCAGCAGTTAACATCTGTGTATGTCAGTTCTCCGAATTCTTCTTTCATTGCTTTTATGTCGCTTTTTTTAGTTTCGGCGATGAGACAGAGACTCTATAGAGAATAAAAAACAAGTTAAATTGATACTAATTTGTGATGAATATTACATAAGTATACCTGCGTATATGTAAATCATTGGGCAAAGCGTGGCACAGTAGACGACGCCTTAGTCTTACAAAGTTAAAGGTCTCGTATTCGATAGAACCGAAAAATTGTATCTTATTCGTTCCTCTGTCGAGAAGCAATGGCAAACCACCGAGAATTTCTTGTCAAGAAAGAGAGAGAATGATGATATAAATCATTTTCTCTATCAATCTTCGCTAGTTGTTGCATCAGTTTCATATCGTAAGTCCATATCTTGGAGTAATAATCGGTCTTATTAAGGGTTCGACAAGTCCCACGGTTCTACAAAATGTTTTAAATAATATGACATATTTTTTTTTATGTAATTATATAAATGTTATATTAATGTAAAATTTTATATATATATATAACTAGAAAATTATTATAGTATTACAGGGTCCCTCAATTGATGATTTTCCTTTTAAGCTTTATATAAGGGTCACCTCCAAGTTGATTTTGCCATGTTTTTATAATATTCATCGTCCCATGGAACATTCATGTTTACTTTTCCAATGAAAATCATAGCGAGCGACCTTTCAGGGATCCTTCGTAGCAATCGGCATTGCATTCATTGAGCGAGAAACCAACATCGCTCGGGAGTTGTATATCACTGTGTTAAAAGCAGCATTAAGTGTGAGGTCCGGATAGCTCAGTTGGTTAGAGCAGTTGCTCAGAAAGCGAAAGATTCGGGTTCGATTTCCGATCCATCTCACATATATTTCTAGTCCACGAATATTGTTTTCTAAAAATTATTCGTGGAACCAAATGGTCGTATAAATACATCTAACTTCCCCTTCCTTCTCTACAAGAAGTATATTTCCCATGTTGCATGGGAATATAAAGTATTCTCTTATAAAAATAGTAACAGTAATATATGGAATATTTTAAATACCTAGTCAACCTCGTCGACAAGTGACGTTATTATTAAAAATTACTTTGTTATTTTCGTTCGTATGAATCATAGGGCCGATAAATTTTTGTCTTAACGTTGTGTAGTATTTTTTGAATATATACACCACTGGAACAATATAATAAAATATATTATAATATTATTAGCAGAAGTTTTAAAATATTTCTCTTTATCTCTAAATAATCTTTCTAATATGACTACAATAAAATTAATTTTTCAATAAGAAAACTATAAATAACGAATTTTTTCTTATATTTCCATTTATTATATACTCTATAATAAAAATAAATAAATAATTGTGCAAATAATATTATTCCTACATAAAAGAAGATACATGTATATATGTAATATATTTTTAATATAACAATTTTCATTAATTTCAAATATAATATTACTCAGCTTTTTTCGAACTATTCAATTAAAGTGCTTTTGCCTTTTAATAATAAAGCTATTTAATAAAATATTTATAATATGTGTGTTTGATGTGACTATTGCGGCAGAAATGATTGATGATGTAGAATGTAGAAAATGGTAATGTTAAGAAACAGATTTGATCTGATTTGATCTGGAAATACCACATTGCATTTGATTATATACATACAATATCTGAAATATATATATATTGTGATTATGTATTTTTTGGGGGGACCACACGACATCTTCGACGCGATTCATAATCTGTACCCGAGAGATAATCGTAATAATTACAAGATTATTAGGCTTCGAGTACTAGTAGAAGGAATGATTCGGTCGGGACGAAAGTGTGAAGAAATCGAGAATATCAAAAATATAAATAGGCAATATTTGGCAATTAACAGTATCGTATATTATTAAAAAATAAAAAAATAAAACATATACAAGATGAGTCTGATAAAAAGTTTATACATATAGTAGTGATCTTAATCTTCTTGAACGTGTTCTTCGCGTTTCCAATTATTATATATTGCCAATTATAATTTTTCTTTTTTAAATAAGATGTACTTTTGAATCACTCCATCGATAGTGAGCTTCATAACTTTTATATCAGAGCCTGTTTCGAAAAGTCAACCGTTGTCAAGATATACAAAATTAAAAATCAAAATTTCAATTTGGATAATCTTGCAAATATAATGCAGGGTTATCTCTATCTATTCATTTGTTTGGAAATATTGGAAATAAAAATTGTAATATAGAAACCAAAGACATTCAAGATCCCTCAAAGACACAATAATATGTGCCACTATTTGTCTTACAATTTTAAAAATAGATATCTTTTTCTATCTCCAACTGTTTTCGAGAAAAATGTAACTTTTAGCAGACTCATCTTATATAAATAATGAAAACAGTAATGTGCAATCGGTGTGATTAGCGCAATTGTATATTATTGGATCAAAACAGTTCGAACTTTACACGATCGTTCGAACGAGAGAAAACAAGACAAAATTATAAGACACTTTCAGCTTAATAAAAGACACCTTCCATAATGTTATCGGTCTAATTTTTCGTAAATAATTTCGCTCTCGATCTACGTGACAATATTCGATAAATCGCGAATCTATGCGACATTCGTAGCGGGATTTAAAAAGATGCAGTCCAATAAAAGATCGTGATACAATGATGATAATAATTCTCTACCCGATATAATATATATGAAAGAAAATCGAGCGGAAGAAGTCGCGAAATATTCGGAGTGAGAGCTTTATAACATGTAACATGTATTAAGAGTTATATAAAGAGTTATATAATGAGCGAGATTAGTAATAATACTAAGGCAAGTTTTTACGCAAATATAAATATAAAAAGAAATATGCCGAACAGTTCTATCTTTTGTAAAGCCACGGAAGAAGATTCTGATTGTGCTTCTTATGCAAAAACGTTACATTTGATGTTTCCAAAGGACGCGTCTTTTCTTTATTTTGTTAACAGTAAATATATTTTTAAAAGCATATTACAAGGATCTTAAGAATAATTCTCGATCGCTAATATAATAAGAAACATGCAACTTTAATCGTAAAAGATATTCAATATATTACGATGATTATTAAGATACTTATTAATAAAATTATTAAAAAAAAGAAAAATTAATGCATTCATTTAATATTAAGCTTCAAAAGATTATTACAGAGTATTTATAAATTTGTTTATAAAATACAAAAATAGAAGCATTATATAATTTATTCAACAGTTTATTTACATTATTGAATTAATGATTAATTAAAACAGTGCAAAAGTAACATCTTACCAAATAAAATGTTTTTTACTTAACTTTTCTACCTTTTACATAAACTGATACTATATTACGATCATCCCCCGAATATATAAATCTTTGGAGGTTTTCCTCGAGTGTGTAATCTGTAAAGTTGTCCAACAAATTGTTTTCTGCGTTCAAATCTATGACGAGAGCATCAAATTCTTTGCCTGCCATGAAATTACCGACTTTATCCTCAATCGTAAGCGCTAAACACAGTCGATATACATTTAGTTACATTGAAAATTATAGTATATATTGTTATATAAAAAGACATATTTTACATGATCATTTTAATTATCGTTTCTATGGCAATACTGGAACTTTACCTTTAGCACCTCCTAATGTTGCCATAAAGAAAGCATCTTTGTAATCAAATGGTACATTATCATGTCCCGTTAGAAATAGAGAATTTGATACATGCAAAACCGATCTCATTTCATCCAATATGCTATAACTTGATCCAGCAGAAACATCTAAGAACAGATACATTCATTATTAACTTAATAATGAATACTATGTCGATTAGTTGTTACATTGAATTTTACATAAAAAGAGTCATTATTAATATAAAATCTTTGCAAGGTAAAATATTTGCAGTACCTGTTCCAAGGCCAACGTTGATATTATTAGCTTTTAATCTTCGTACATCGCAAAGACCGCTTTTCAAATTTATATTCGAAGTTGGACAGTGAATTATACCTGTTCCTCGTTTCGCAAGCGTGTTAAG